CCCCCCCCCCCACAGGCACTTCCTACAGGAGCAGCTTCCAAGCCGAGTTCCTGGCGGGCACTGTCCCCCAACAGCAAGCTGGAACAAAGGCCGCATGACTGAGTGCGCCCGTGCCTGTCAGGGCGCGGGGAAGGTAATTACAGGGGCAGCGCTCGCAGCCACACCTGGCCGTGCCGTCAACAGCCTCTCTTCCCGGCGAGCTGGGGGAGCTGAGAGACAGGGAGGCGACAAACCACAATTTGAATCATTTGGAGAGAAGCTATAAATATAATAATGAGTCATTTGTAAAATATAATTTCATCCAAAAGCCTGGAAAAAAAAATGGGAAAGAAGTTCTTATGCTATTTCAGGCCAAATTGTTCAAGAGTGTTCTGCATGCGGCCTGGACACCCCTTGCCCGGGCCCCTCATCACAGCCTGGGATTGGAATGCTCGCAATTCAGTTCTCCCTCGGAGGGCTGATAAGCATCGCGGACACGCAGCCTCGCATCCAGGCTGAGCAGCTGAGAACAGTTTAGGGCAGGCCCGCTGTTGTTCTTGGCAACTCTCTCCAGCCCGGGGGCCCTGCAGCCTTTCCTGCGCAGGGTGGCTTTTCCAGTGTGGCCACAAGGTCTCTTCTGGCCTCAGCTCCAGCCTGGGCCCCAGCTGCTCTGGGGGGAGGAGGCGCCAGGGCAGAGCTCTGTGGGGGAGTGGGCTGCAGTCACTCAGCAGGACCAGCTCACCACTGCCGTCCAGGGTAGTTGGGAAGAGCTGAAGCTCTGAAACTAGACTTTTTCTAGGTTCTGTTACCGCTGGGCCCCTACTATCTGTGTGACCTTAGGTGAGGTACTTAACCTCTCTGGGCTCAGTTACATCATCTGTTAGATGGGTTTAATAATAATCCCTTGCTCAAAGATGTTGAGAAGATGAAGTGAATTAACCTGTAAAACACTTAGAATAGGGACTGGCATCATGGGTGCTCAATAATCCTATATAATAAAAGGCTAATATGCAAATTGTCCCCTCCACTGGGAGTTCGACCAGGGAGCAGGGCCAGCTGGGGCCCCTCTCCCAGGCCGGCCCCGCCCCTATTGGCCCCCCTACCCCGATCCAGGTGGGCCTGCCGGACCCTACCCGTGCACGAATTCATGCACCAGGTCTCCAGTGTTAGCTAATAAAACCCTCGTTATTGCTTCTCACTGGGCACTTGATGCAGCAAGGAACCACAGGACACAGGCACAATGGCACACATGACTGACCCTGAGTGATCAGCGATAAATGCCCGGTGCCCTGCCTTGTCCTTCAGCCATTTCATCATCTCAACTTGCCTGTCGACCCGAGCAAGCCCCTTCGCCTCTGTGGCCCGAGCGTCCCCATTCTCCCTCTCCCAGGCACCTTGTCTCTGAACTGAGCACAACGGGAGGAGGGCAGCATCCTTCCTCATGTTTAGAGACCAAAAGTCAATTGGTACTTTAAAGCCACTGAGTGCATACTGGGCTTGAACTTCAGCCTTCCCCGCTCTCTTCCCTCTTCTCCGCCTCTCTCCTCTCTCTCTCTCTCTCCTTCCCTCTTTTCTTTCCTCTGCTCCATGCTAAGTCCTGGCCTTCCACCTGCAGGCAGAGCTGGGGGGTGGGATGAGGTTAAAGTGCTCAAAGCCTCTGTCTCTCCCAAGCGGCCAGGTCCATGTCCCCAGTTGCTGAGGGTGGCCCTGAAAGCCCTCGACGAGA